AAAGTGAGGTGGTCCTTGGATGGTGAAAGAGAATTTACAATGCATGGTACATGTTGGATTAATACAGTGCAGACTCTTAATTATAAATGTCATTTGTTTAAATAATTAATACCTACTATGTGCCAGACACTGTTCTAGGTATTAAACTTTAGTCCTTCCATTAAGGAGCTCATTATCTAGTGGAATAAATCAGCCATATGAACAATCCATCACACCTAAAGAGGTATTTATGCTGGTAAAGATATATTGGAATGTGGCCTGCCCCTAAAGAGAGGAAACCTAAAAGGCGCTCAGAGGTAGAAAACTGCCTGGCATATTCAAGGGGCTGGAAACATTTTGGGGCAGGGTGGGTGGAAGAGTGAGAAATGCAGTTTCTGAGGTAAAAACTCAGGCCTGATTATGGAGGACCTTGAATGTCTCACTAGGACATGGACTTCATAATGAGGATAATTAAATCGTAAGCACCATTTATTACCTAGGAGAAAGTCAAAACATGCCTGTCAATGTTATGAAATTGTCATGTATTAAATTATAATATCGAACAGTGATCACATAAAATACGGCATTTTTACATTGTCAATTCATTACGATATCTCACAACATGGCAAACTCACTTTTTTTTTAATTCCTAAAATTTCTGAAAGGGTTTTTTGAGTCCAAACAAGAGCAAAGCAACACCCTCTAAAACATGTGAAGACCTGCAGTAGTGACACTAATCCTTTAAAGCAACCCTAGTGGTTCTCTTTACTGACTCAGTATAACTCTCTGTTCTTCTCCAAATCCAGTTTTTATATATGCATTGAGTTTTGGTCAAGTGAGAGGAGTCTGTAGCTCTTTAACACTGGGCGCCTGCTAGTCTGTGGAGTAGGCAGAGTGGCCAGGAAGACCTGTGTGCATTGAGACAACATCTGCATCCATGTTGTCCAGAGTCTTAGGCAATGACTGCACCCGATTTGAGACCTCAGACTGTGCTTTAGAAGAACATCTAAGTATCAGACCCCCAGTAGGCTTCAGACTGAAACACAGATACGCTGTACTCTTTGAAGGTGCTTGTCGTTGACATATAAATCCTAGGAGAAAAGTGTTCTCCTTGTATGATTCCTCAGTGTAAAAGCAATGGAAAGACCCAAGCAGAAGAAAGGGTAAAAGGGTAGATTTCTGTCCGGGGAGAAAATTGCTACGTTTCCTATCTACTGTTGTGCAGTTAATCACTCCCTACCTTTGTTTTATCACCCCACGGGATTACTTCTTTCCTATACATGGAAGCTTTATTGAAAAATAAAGGGGGGACTATTATAGTCCCTGTTTGTTTTGCACAGAGACTAATGTATTCTGCTCATGCTAGCTAAAGAACAAAGTCACACATAAGCCAAATGAGTATGTACGTGATGAAATGCACATGATTTGATTTATTTTAACTCCACCCGAAATTAATAAATGATGAATTTTCATTAGTACCATGTCCAGAGAATTTTATGAGTAAAAAATTAATCTTTCACAGCATGCCTATCCCTTTCTCATGCTTTTTATCATCACTTATTGCAGAATATGTTTAGAAGGTAATGATTTTTAATGACTTAGATTAAATGTGAGAGGAAAATATCTGCCAGAGTTTTCTGGCCATGGCACTACTATTCAAAAAGAATATAAAGTAATCCAAAAGATTACCTGAAGAATTAAAAGCACCCAACAAATCATTTAACCCACTCACCCCAACAAGGGTCTAACTTGACTGCAATAAAGGAAAATCCAAAAATTTTAGTTGTATTATAGGATTCCTGGATTTTTGTGAGACTCATTTTTTTTCTTATCAAAACCAAATTAAGTTTTTATTGTCTTTTGGCAAATGTTGTATGAAGTTAATTATCTTAATCTTTTATAATAGCCTAGTCTCCCAAAAGAACGATTTGCTATGTAACTATTAATAT